TGCAAAAGAAGAAAAGTATGTATATATAAAATATATGCAAAGGTGTCACATATTAGGTAGTGTTGTATACTGACCCATAGCTGATCCTCCAGCGGGTTTTCACAGGCAGTTAATCACATGGGAAGAGATTTCCCATTCTTCTCCCACAGAGTAGCTGGTGACCTCAAACTGTGTGTCTTTAGAATTGCAGCACAGCTCCTTGCCATTAGGCCACCAAAGCTCCTAACTTAGGTGTAGGGAAATGAAAGAGAGGTTAGCACAGAAAATATAAGATCAAAGAAGACACTGGGAGGTACACAAAGGTTAATGAAAAAAAAAATATGTGTGTGTGTGTGTGTGTGTGTGTGTGTGTGTGTGTGTGTGTATTCCCACTGCCATCAAGTCCACTTCCATGGAGTGGCCAGTGAATTTTAATTGGCGACATTTAAATTAGCAGTCTGACATGTTATCAACTATGCCCTCAGGAAGCCCCCCACACACACACACACATATTCTCATGCACATACAGTGAGAGAGAAATCAAATGTGGCGGCATATAAACAATCTGTGAAGAAAGTATACAAGCTGTCATTGTCTGGTCTTTTTTTTCATATTTTTATTGGTTTACATACAATCCTTCATATGCATTGTGCTTCGTGCATGTACACTGTGTTTTATACAATCTTTTATTTGCACTGTGTTTGTCCAGTCTTTTAAATTTGCTGTAGGCTTGAACTTTTTCAAAATGAAAAATGCCTTTGGTGAAAAACAAGAACAAAAAAAAAATCCAGTTGCCATTGAGACTATCCTGATTCATGTTGATACCAGGTGGTTCAGAGTAGAGCTTCATTTTACAAAGTTCTCTGTGGCTTTTTTGGGGGGGTAAAGCAGGCTGAGAGACTTTTTTTCTGAGGCAACCTTTCAGTTAGCAGCAGAGTATGTTGAATGTTTGCACCAAATATGGGCAGCACACTACAACTCTGACTGTACGATGGGCAGTGAGGGGGAATTGTGTCAGTGGGCACTGTTCTGAGGCGGCTCAAGAAAAACACCAACCATTTGTGACTCAGTAACCATCCCTAACCAGTCTGCTGTCCCTGCCACCCAGGAAGGGTCAAAACTCAAGCTCCTTAGACCCCACCCTGAGCAACTTTTACAGGGACTCTTCCAGGTACTCATCTGATGTGGACAGACACACTCAGCTTAGCTAGGATGGTATCTAAAGTGCCTTAAACGTCTTCAGGTCATCTTCCTAGAGCATGAAGGGAACCCAGTTTAAAAATGACTCATCTTGGGGGGGTTGTTGTTCGTTTTTTAAAGTTATGTTTACTTATTGTTATTGTTGTTTTGTGCTGTCGAGTCGCCTGCAACTCATAGCAACCCTATGTGCAATAGTTCTGAATCCTGCCCTATCTTGAGTGAATTTCATCATCTCTGACACATCTATCCCCATTACCTCAGTCCTGAGTTAATCCATCTTATTTAGGGTCTTTTCTCTTACCCTTCACTCTTTCAACCATGATGTCCTCCAAGGACTGGTCCTTCCTGGCAACATGCCCAAAGTATGTGAGATGAAGCTTCAGAATCCTTGCCTCCAAGGAGCAGCTTGCCTTCACTCTCACCAGGACAGACCTGTTCTCTTGGCAGTCCATAGTACTGATGTTCAATACTCTTCTCCAGCATCACAGCTCAAAGGCATCAATTCTTCTTCTATCATCCCTAGTCATTGTCCAGCTCTGTTGTTAGTTAGGTGTTTTTGTTTTGTTGTTTTGTTTTTGTTTGTTTGTTTGTTTGTTTTGTTAGGTTCTGACTGATGGAGACCTTATATACTGCTCTGTCCTGCTCCACCCTCAGCCATTGCTGCTGGAGTTCACTGTTGCAGACTATATGTCATGTGACCTTGTTAAAGGTCTTCATCTTCTTCATGGACCTTCTACTCTTCCAAGCATGACAACCTTCTCTAACTAGTCCTTCCTGATAACATGTCCAAAGGAGATGAGACAAAGTTTCATCATCCTCACTTCTGAAGAGCATTCTGGCTATATTTCTTCCAAGTCAAATTGCGTTTCTTCTAGCATTTCATGTTGTTGTTGTTCTGTACTATTGAGTCAGAACCAACCCATAGCTGACCTCGGACCCTCCAGCAGTTTTCAGAGGCAGTAAATGCCAAAGGAGGAGACTGCCCATCCTTCTCCCACAGAGCAGCTGGTGGCCCTGAACCATGTGCCTTTGAGATTGCAGCACAGCTTCTTGCCACCAGTGCTCCCTAGTGTATCTAATATTCCTCATCAACACCAACATTCAGAGGCATCAACTCTTCTGGGGTTTTCTTTATTCATTGTCCCACATTCACACGCATATGAGGTGTCTGAAAATACCAAGGTTGAGTCAAGTGTACCTTAGTCTTTTACGTGACATTATTTGCCTTCCAGCACTTTTTAAAAGATCTTGTGGCAGATTTGCCCAACACAATATGTTATTAAGAAAGAGTTTTTCACTACTTCCATGGTCCTTGATTACGAATCCAAGGAAAATGAAATCTTGCTAACTTCTATTTCTTTTATTTGCTCAGCATTGCATGATTTTGCTTATCAGCTCAGTTATGAAGGTTTCTGCCTGCTTTATGTGGAAGTGTAATATCCTTACTGAAGGTTTTATCCTTTGCTCTTCATCAGTAAGAGCCTCAAGTCCTCTTTGCTTTATCAAGCAAGGTTGTGTTATCTGCATATTATAGGTTGGTAATGAGTCTTTCTCCTATTCTGATGTCTCATTTTTCTTCATTTAGTCCAAGTTGGTCTGTATGAAAGGAGCTCTGGCGGAAAGGAGTTGTAAGGTAGTGGTTCCTGTCTGCTGGTTTGACTCTGCCAGCAGCTCTGTGGCAGAAAGACAGATGGTCAATCTCCTCAAGTATAATTTAAAGCCTACGAAAATCCACTGGAGGATCAGCAATGAGTTAGTTCCAAATCAACAGTGACGAGTTTGAATTCTGTATGAAGAAGAAGTAGCAGAAGGCAAAAAATCAAATGACATTGCATTGAGTCAATCTGCTGCAAAAAACTTTGTTTGGGTATGTTGGGTTTTGTTTTTTTTCTTTTGAGGGTTACCTTCTTTTTTGCTGACCCTTTCCTTTTCTCCCCCCTTTTTTAAATTGAGATTTTAATGAAAGTTTATAGAGAACTTGGATTTCCATTCATTAATTGTTGTACATTTTCTTCCCTGCTGATGCCTCCCTATGTTTGCTTTTCTCGTTGAAAAAAAAAATTTCTTTGTTGTACAATTCCTCACCCCCACCTCAGTCCACTTTACTGTGCAGCTCTTATTCTGGGCTGTTGTCATGCAAATAATATCAAATCATACAGTCCTTTTAAACAGGTCTTTCCGTCATCTGTTTCAATGCAATGTACATTATTTATCCCTTCTTTTCTTAGTTTCTCCCCAACCTCGATGTCAGTCCTGTTTTATAACAGTGGCATTATGCAGTATTTGTCCTTTTGTGACTGAGATATTTCAGTAAGCATAATGTCCTCCAGGGTCACCTATTTTTATATTTCATGTGTTCCTTACTTTTCAGTGCTGCATAATATTCCATTGTGTGAATATATA